AAATCTGAAAAATGCAGAAAAGCCAACGCCAAAGGAAAGGGAGCAGAAAGAGCCTGTACTCCAGCTAAACACAGATGGGCTTCCCCTCGGGAGGCTAATTTTCTCATAAGGAAGAAAACAAAAGGGCACTTTGAGAACCTGAAGGATGCCTGGGACCCGCAGCCCTGCCTCCCCTCCCCTCACTCCCTTCCTTCGCCTCCCTTCTCTCCTCCTGCTTCCTCCTCTCCTCTCCTCTCCCCTCCCACCCTCCACCCCCTTCCCAGAACCCTGGACTGGTGTCCTTTAAGGGGCAGGAGGGAATTCCAGGCAGAGTGCCAGGTGTCTGGTGACACAAGGTGTCCTACCCGTGCAAAGCCACCTGGACAGGCAGAAGTTTAAAGGTAAGGGAATGCGCAGGTTCTCCATTTGCCTTGGAGCACGGGGAGCCATCTGCAGACTCCCAGGCACACCTGTCTGCTGCCCCAGGCGGAGCCCGGGAGCAAGTCCCCGGCTGCAGGAATTGACCTACCTCATTTCTTCTCGCTGTTTAAGATTGACAGCTCAGACCTCACCTGCTGACACCCCTCACTCCCACGCCAGGCTCAGCCCGGGGCCCTTCCTGTGTGCTCCCAGGACACCCTGCATAGGCATCTCTCACTGCACTTGCAACTTGAAATTATGCTTCTCTCTCCGTGCATTTATCCAGGGGTCCTCAAACTTTTTAAAAAGGGGGCCAGTTCACTGTCCCTCAGACCGTTGGAAGGCTGGACTATAGCTTAAAGAAAACTATGAACAAATTCCTATGCACATTGCACATACCTTATTTTGAAGTAAAAAAACAAATGGGCAAAAAACACCCACAGGTAGCCCTCGGGCCGTAGTTTGAAGACACCTGCATTTATCTTTCCCACCTGGCTGTGAACTTGTCATGGTCAAGGTCAACCCACTCTATAGCCCCAGACCCCGAAGTGCATAGTAGTTGCTCAAAACATTCTTGTTGGAGAAGGGTACTGAGGCAGAATCAGGTCTCTGTGTCGTGGCTCCATCACCATGCGGCAAAAAGCATTTCCTTCCGTCTGAGCCAGCGCCCTCCTCTTGGCCATCACTGCGCAGCTCGCCCCCACCCCGCACCCCTGCTCGGGTTCCGAGCCACCAGCAACTATCTGGTCATAGTTGGATCCTGCCCTCCCGTCCTCCTGTCTTCCCCATCCCAGGAAATGGCGACTGCTCCTCCTTCCACTGACCCTGGGGCTGTCCTCACACACGCCTTTCTCTCATGCCCACATCGACCTGTGAGTCCCTCCTACCCCATGCACCTCCAAGACAGCCCCAGGGTCTGCCTGCTTCTCCCTCCCCACCGACACCTCCTCCCAGCCCCTGCCAGCACCTCTGACCAGGAACGGTGGCAAGAGAGCCTGACCGCCCACCCGCTCCCGCCCAGGGCTCCAGGCAGCCCCTTCTCAACACCCCCAGCCAGACCGTGTGGCTCCCCCGGCCTCCCTCCTCGTGTGGTCTTCACATTGGCCTCCAAGGCCCCGCCCTGCCCTGCCCCTCCATCTCGGCTCCTGCCGCCTCTTCCCTCCCTGCAGCCACTCAGCTGCACGGACCCCCTGGCTGCTCCGCGGACATGCCACTTCGCTCCTACCTCAGGGCCACCGCACCTCTGTTCCCGCTGCCTGTGGTGCTCTTCCCTACCTCTCTCCGTGGTCTCATGTCTCGCTTCCTTTGGGTCTCTGCACAAATGTTATCTTCCCACGAAGGCTTCCTTATTACTTCTTTAGAATCACACACCCCACCTGCACTCCCGACCACCCTCCCTGCTTCCTTTTTATCCTCATAACCGATCCCCTTCGACGGCTTCTACGCTTCGCCTCTGGACTTATGTTGTGTTTCCCGCCACGGGAGCTACGGTACACGCTCCATGCGGGCAGGTGTTTCTTTACCTGCTTTGTTTATTGGTGTGTCCTCAATGCTTGGAACAGTTCCTGGCACATGGTAGATGCTCAATAAGTGTGTGTTAGAAAAATCCATTGAAAATTAATAAAACTGCTATTGTGGGTTTTTTGTATCCGTCATGTGACTTGATTAGCCTGAGAAAAATCTCCTTCTAATTCATCAACTGCACACACACTATCAAAATAGCTCCTGGATCTCAAAACCATGTAAGAACCAGACGTGAATCACAGGGACCCCACCGTCAGCCCCTTAAGCTACACACGCAGAGCAGGGCGATCATTCGGATCCGTGCTGCCGCTTCAGGAAAGAAGACAGGTGGACTCGGAGCCCGACACGAGAGGAACCGTGTGAGGGCCACGCGCTGCGGATGGGGGTTCATAGATTTGCATTGCTGAGAAAATGACTCAGAGACCAGTCAGGGCCATATCTGATTGGGCTGGTCCCTCCCATTAGCTTCCCACCGTCTAACAGTAATTCACGGTGAGGAAACCAGCGAGGTGGTGCAATGAAGGCCAGCGTCCTAGCAGCGTCACCGCAGCAGGCCACGTCCTCGGGATGCAACATGCCCAGCAGGCACTCCGCCTCTGGGGCGATCTTTTCAGGACCTAATTCCAGTCTAATCCTGAGAAAAACACCAGACCGGGGACAGTCCCCAGGATACCTGGCTGGGCTCCTTAGGACTGTCAAGGTCATGGAAAGCAAGGCAAGGCTGGGAAACTGGCACAGACCAGAGGGGACCGGGAGACATGACAGCGGACACAGCGCGATGGCCGGGAGGGGATCCTGGAACAGGAAGAGGAGACTTATGGGACATCTGCGGCCTGACCAACTGTGCAGGGCTAAGCTCATCACAGCGCCCAAGGCCCTAGGCAGCGGCTTCTGTGCCGGGGCAGACCGAGGGCCGGGGCGCCCCCAGGCTGGAGCTGCTCCTTCCTAACTCTTCCCCCTTTCTCTGAAGGACCCGGGCGCCTGGTCTCCTGCCGGGGGAGGCTCACAGACCCGGCTCTCCCTCCTGCTCCACCTGGGGCCCATTCTGGGCTCTGCCCGGCCGTTTCCATAACCGCCTCCCTGAAGCCGCCCACACGCGCCTCCGTGTCCGCGGCCTGAGCTGGGGCTCCCGGCAGCTGCACCCCCTGACTCTTCCCCGGCGCCCAGCGCTGCCGCTGCCGCGTGTTAGAACACGCCCGGTGTCCACACAACCGCCTGGCAGCAAAAGTGGGATGACGGCATGCAGACGTGTAAAAGGGCGTGCTCCAAGCCACGCCACCTCCATCCTGCGTGCGGACACCGTGGTGCCACCATGGCTGCCCCTGCGCCCAGAGGCCACTTGGCACAGAACACATGGCTCACCGAGGCCACGAGCCCGCCAACCCACGGGGAGCCCGGCGGGCGCCGAGTGCAGGGGCGCGTGGCAGGGAAGCAGCTTGAGGGCAGAGCAGGGCCGGCTGCGGCCCAGGGCACAAAGCCCAGCAGTGGAGGGACGAGGGGCTCAGAGTCCCGGGAGCCTCTGAAACAGAATCGGATGGAGGGAAGGGTCCTTTTCCGCGCAGGAAACCCCCTTCACATCCGGCCACATCATCTTCTCGGTGAAGTGCGCCTATCGGGGCTCTCACTTCCTGCGTCCCCTTACCTTGTAAATGATGCTGGCACTGCCGTGTCATCACCTGGCCCTGCCGTTACCTCTCTCTCCGGTCCGGATCCTCGGGAGGGCTGTCATTTCTGCCCCAGGCCGGTCTGAGTTCACGGGCTGACCGTCCTCACCTGCGCCTGGGCCGCTGCTCTCCCTGCCTCCAGGCGGCCCCTCAGAATGCACCGAGACGCCGACCTGGGCGGCCACTCCCCACCGCAGGCTGTTCTCGCTCCAGGTGAAGGTCTAACCGTGGCTGTGGTCCCCGCGGCCGCCTCCCCGGAGCTCCCTGCCTGCCTGGTGAGCAGCCCCCTTCCAGAGCACCCGGCCTTCCTCGCGCTCTGCCTCTGCCAGGGAGGGCTGGCTGAGACCTGGTACCGGCCACTGCCTCCTTGAAGCCTTCCAGGGTGCACCAGGGAGGCAGCTGGCCACGCTCTGCTGCGTGCAGGACTCCTCTGGAGCACCAACTTTTTTTTTTTTTTTTTTGAGACAGAGTCTCGCTTTGTTGCCCAGGCTAGAGTGAGTGCCGTGGCGTCAGCCTGGCTCACAGCAACCTCAAACTCCTGGGCTCAAGCGATCCTCCTGCCTCAGCCTCCGAGTAGCTGGGACTACAGGCATGCGCCACCATGCCTGGCTAATTTTTTCTACTATATATTAGTTGGCCAATTAATTTCTTTCTATTTTTAGTAGAGACGGGGTCTCGCTCTTGCACAGGCTGGTTTTGAACTCCTGACCTCGAGCAATCCGCCCGCCTCAGCCTCCCAGAGTGCTAGGATTACAGGCGTGAGCCACCGCGCCCGGCCCAACTTTTCTTTTGTCTTACAACCTTCTGAAAGGCAGATCACGTGTGATGCCTGGTGCCTCGCGGCCACTCAGCGCGTGCTGTGAGAACGAATGAAGGTGATGAACGAGTCTGTGCCCAGGTCAGACAAGATGACCACGTGCACGTCCTCCTAGTGAGGGATGCTGCTTCCAACGTGACGGCCTGGGCCCCACGGAGAGGCATCGCCCTTCCAGCGAAGCCAGTCACCTGCAAGGCTGGCAGCAGTCGGGGGCCTCGTGTGGCACCCAGTGATCACAGTCACCGTGATCCACGTGGCCACACAGGCGGGGGTGCGTGCTGCTACCTCCCAGAGTGTTCTGGGGACTGGAGCTAGGGGAAGACTTCTCGTCAAAGAAGAGAATGGCTTGTTGGATTAAACAGGTATCTAGACTTTGGTGCCTGTAATTTGCTACAGACGTGGGAGTCCCCGAGGGCTGGGAGGTCAATGGTGTTTCCTCCCAAGCTCCGTCTGACCACACTGGTCCAAGCTGGATTTTCACTGAAGGAGGGACAAAGGACCCAGAACTCAGCATTTGCTCACTTCCCATTCATCGTGGTCGCTCTGAAACACGCCAGCCATCGGGATTGGACACCGTCGTTCCCAGAAAAAGGATGTCTTTATGCAATCATGAACTTTTATTGAGAACAATCATTAGCAAAGTAGAAGTAGCTGCCCCAGAAATGCAGCATCAGAGAGTACTCAGAAATGGATTCGAAAACAATTATAAAGATATTTTGCCGCAGATTCAAATGAAACTACAATCATTGGCTATAAAATACAGCCACACGTAATCACACTGAAAACAAAAACTGAAAATCTCCAAACTCTCTGAAGGCAGGAAACCCACAGCCCTGAGAATCCCAGTGCGGTTGCCACTTCCCTGCCCAGGGCTGTGACCCACAGTGACTGGAATGCCACCCGGCGCCAGCACGGGGTCCCCACGGCACGTCTCTGTGACGAGATCTGATTAAGTGCTTCTGATTTTCTCAAAGAGGACTTCAAACGAGAGGAGTGGCAGTCACGGCACGAGAAATTCACTGGGGCTGCATCTGCCGCTTCAGCTTGGAGAGCTGCATGAGGCACTTGTCCCTCCACTGCCTTCTGGCCTCCAAGTGCTCCGGGTCATCAGGCACCTTCGTGCACATGGCCTGGGATAAGGAAGAGGGGAAAAAGCAGCATGAGGAGGAAATATCAATAATTTACTAGGATCGTAACTGATGTCCGTGTTTATGTAAACTGCCCACAAATTGCTTTCAAAGACAAAAGGGTACTACTAAACCCTCCCTCAATTATAACAAGCTTTCTTCCAAGCCTTTAGAGACCTAAGTCCCTGGGAGACAAGTTGAGATGAATCACTAGCTCACTGGTCACACTGCTCTTACGGGGTCCTGCTGACATGATGGAACCGTGGACAGGCAGGGTTAGGAATGAGGAATCACCAACTTCAAGGGCTGACGTCCCAGCTGCAGGTGGAGCCCACCGGTGGCAGGCATGCGCCGGCACGCTTCTGCACACTGCGTCTCGTACCTGATTAACCTTCTCAACCGTGTCCCTGGAGAACTCTGGAATGGGTCCAAAAGTCTTCAGGACACGCTTCATGCCTTCGCTGTATCTGTCGCAGTAGTTTGACATACCTGAAATTGCAAGAAAACAAGAATCCACAATATCAGCAAGAAAGGTCCATAACTCCACACTGAGAAATGCGTCCACAGGCGTTGCTCTGGGCTCCGGTTAGCCACGTTCTCTCCGGTGGATCAAGGCAGGCCGGGCCCGCCGCCCGCCTCTGGCGGCTCATTTCCAACAGCGTTCAAACCCAGACGGACGCAGCAGTGGGTCAGTCAGCCCAAGAAGGTAACAAGGAAACAACGAAACTGCAGGACTTACAGAGACCTGGAGCTAGGCTGTCCCCTACCCCACAAGAACTGGGCATGATTAATTTAAAATAAAAGCAATCAGTAATAAATACTCTCAAAAAAAATAAAGAAAAAGACAGACAAATACCTTCTGGGTTTGGTTTTGATTGACCTACACTGATGGGAAAGCCTAAATTCGTTGAGTTTCAATTTTGTCTCCTCTGTGAGCAAAAATTCCTCGAGAAGTTGTTTTCAAGGGTAAAAAATTCAAGCGTACCAAGTTTTCTGCCATGAGCACCTGCAATTAACTGGTGGGAACCCTTTTCAAAGGAAGGGGTTTCACTTGCCTAACGTAAGTGTGAACTCGCCGAGCAGAGCCGAGACACACTCCTCGAGGGCCAGCGCCGGCTCAGCAACGCCGCAGAGCAGAAGACCGCCTGCATGTTGTTAGACGTTATTTACCTCTCTATTTATTCATTCCAACTAAGGCAAGATCTAGGCACAAATACAGTGTATTCCTTTCGGGGCGGGGGGCAGAGACACAAGAACTGGATCAAGTGCAAAGAGCCCACACCCCCCCTGCCTGCGGGTCGGACAGCAGCCCCTCCCCACCTGGGCGGCCGCGGGGTTCAATCCACGGACCACACTGGTCTCTCGATTACTTTCCATTCTCCAAACAAGTGCTCATCTTTCACTTTTCTGTGAGATCATTCAAATCTCTGAGGGGCTTTCTGGAACTTAAGAAAGTCCCTACTGCCTTTTATAAAATTTGTAAGGTTTTATAGGGACACTTAACAAAATAGAATAAAATGTGGTGAAACTCTTTACAGTAAAACTCATAAACTCCCCCCCCCCCACACATTTGTTCAGGGAACCAGTTAAAATTTCTCTCTCAACAGCCAGGTGTGGTGGCACACACCTGTGGTCCCCGCTACTCGGGAGGCCGAGGCAGGAGGATCGCTTGAGCTCAGGAGCTTGAGACTAGCCTGGGCAAAACAGCAAGACCTGTCTCAAAAAAACAAAACGAAAATTTCTATCTAGCTATTAATACATAAAAGCCCTTTCTTTACCACGTGCTCCAGGCTTCCTCGTCCGTGAAGGGGAGGGCCACACCTCGTGCCCAAGCCGCCGTGCGTGGGCTGCGGCTGCTCCAAACACAGGGCGCTCACGGTGATGGAGGCTCAGGACCTCAATCTGCCTTTGTACAATCAAGTCCCTGTAAATTTATGACTGACTTATTTGCAACACCTCCCCTTCCATTTAGGGAGGGATAATTTATTTTCTACAATAAGTTTGGCTTTTTTATACCATGAGAGGAGAACCAACTGGGACTTACTCTAAAATATTAGTTTAATCGGAAATGGAAAAAACACAAGGCAACCCACGTCCCCTCATTCCCGAGTCTGCCCTTCGCGCTGCTCCTACCCCACGTGGCCGTCCCTGTTTTCCTCCTACGCCTCCACGCCCCGTCCCTTGAGCTGTTCCTCCAAAACCCTCACGGGGCTGAGCTTCATAGAAGACTCAGAACCTCATGTCTTAAGGGTACTTACATGGAAAACAAAACAAAATGGAAAGAACCATTGATTCTCACGAGATCAGACTATCTCGCTGCTCTCTAACTTGGGGTCCCTCAGCTGTGAGCCCCAAGGTGGGGCAGCGGGTCTCCCGAACCTGCAGCATGGCAGGATGCCTTCCCGTTCCCATCACGGAGCAGGCGCCTGGGGTGGCCTTGACCCGGCGGGGGGCCACGTGCTCCGCTCTGGGAGCCGAGTTTCGTGGACAGCATAGCTGCTACCCACACCAGAGGAGTCTGGCTTTCACGTAGCTGACGAGCCCACACTTACGCGGATTTACCTGCTTTTAAGAGACAGGGTTTCACAGATCTCAAGAAAATCAAAAGGCCTCAAAGCACAGAGCGGCACCACCCGACTCCTCCTCTCAGGATCGGGTTCCCTGGGTCGGGGAGGTGGAAGCCGCCCAGGCTCCCTGGCCTAGCCAAGCCCAGCCCCCACAGCCCCCTGCAAATGAACCAACCCCCCAGGGTAGGCACCCCGATTAGAAACAGACAAGCGTCTACACGTAAGGGCAAATTTTGTGAGGTAAGACGGTAAATAAACATCCATTCCCCTGGAGGTGATTTCCAGGGGCTGCCAGATTCTGAAGCACCCGTCTCACAGCAGAGCCACCGCAGGAGGAGAAGCCCCGGCAGCCCCGGGACGAGACAGAGCGGCGCCCACTGCTACCTGCTGGTCTCGGCTCAAGCTCCGCAAGAGACAAACCAGGCGGCGAAGCTCGGGGTACCTGCTCAGAGGTCTCTACTCCACAGCAAAAGCACCCCACACTGTATTCCTCCCTCAGGTGCCTGCAAATCTTTCTGGGAGAATTAAAAAAACCTAGGAAAGTAGTAAGTTAAACAAATAAGACAAAACCATATGAACATGACATTTATTAAGGACTAAATACATGCCAGCCATCCAGCCAAGCGCTCCCATCTGGTTCCATTCTCACACCTGTCGGGAGGCAGTCACTGTCACGTCCCCATTCCACAGATGAAGAAACTGAGGTGCACTGAGCTTAAGTAACTCACCCGAGCCAGGGCGGGGCCCCAGCGACCGGCCAGAACTGCTGCTGTGAGACCTTGTTCTTAAAAAGTAGCCAAAAGGCAAAGCAAGCACACTGGCCTCCTATTTCTCAGCAACTATTTTATTAGATTAAAAACAAATTCTAAAGTATTTGAACTAGTTCTAGATAAATGGTAGCTTTTAAGACCAATAACCACCCTTAACCTGAGATGCTGGCTTTACAAAAACAACATCAGAAAAAGAGAAAAAAATCTCTCAAACTCCAATCTTGATATATTCTAGGTGACACTGTGAAGAAGAATGACCATTTCCATTGGTTCTCAGCCAGATCTTATAACCGTCTAACTCTGGTCTCTGGAATGCTCTGAAGTTGAAAATTACATCCGCCCAGCCTGATCGCATTAAGCCAATTAGGTTTTCTTATCATACCTGCTGTGTTTGAAATTGTCACGGCCTCCTTCCTGTCTGCCACCCATTTGATTCTTGAGTGTCTGCTTTCATTGGCTTCTGTTTCTATTTGTTTGAAAGTCGAAGCTGTTCTCAGTTCTCTCCCTATCAATTTCTCAAGATACCTCAATTATCTTTATTTTTCTCAAGGGAAAAAATACCAAAACAAACTCAAGAAAACCAGAGTGGTGACAGGCAGAGCCTACGTACATTTCGAATGCTTAAATGCGCTCGCCACTCGTAAGGTTCTGGTCGCAAAACATCTAAAGTTATCCAGGACTTTATTTTAATGATACTTCAAGACTCTCGTTTCCCTTGCAGAGGGCGTCTTTCTTTACCTTGCCTTCCTACGTTCAGCGGTCCTCCTCACACAGAACTGACAGGCCGGCGCCCGCAGACGACAGCCCCCTTCCTTCAGCTGCTCTCGGCAAAGCTGGGCGCTCGGGCAGACGCACAGCAGAGACGGGCTGCGTGCGCATGGCGCGTGGCAGGTCCACTCGGGGACTCACGCGTGTACCTGCCGTGTGCAGGAACATGCCTAGTAAAACTGCCTTGAGTTATTCGTTGGAAAGTATGTTTCATGTGAAAATTGAACTACTACTAAAATGCCGTGGAATTATAGAACTGAAGTCAGACTCTACGAGGTCACCAACTCCAACTCCTCCTCACTGCAGGGGTTTCCTTCCTTCTCAACGTCTAAATGTCCCCCCGTGGGCAGCCAGGTGCCCACTCAGACTTGCCTGCTCACAGCGTAGCCTTCTCTGCACATCGGCTCCAGTTACTAGAAAGTTCTTCCTGCCACGTACTGAGCCCTGACCTGTGTGTGCCTGCCATTTCCAGTCTTTTGCTCTGGGCTCCACCCCCACAAAAGACATGGACAAGCAGACAGGCAGGCACCTCTCTGGTCACCTTTTTCTGGGTAAGTCTGAGTTTCTCAGTATCCTTGGTTAAATATAGACCATGGAGCTGCATACAACATCCCCTTTCTCTTTCTGCACGTTTTCTAGCTTAGTATTATAAATCTACATAATTGAAGTTTATGACAACACAGAAAAGCAAAAAAGATAATAAAAGTTACTCATAGCTTTGACACCAAGAGATAGCTGGTAATATCTAGGGGATAGCTTTCTAGATTTTTATACATAGCTTTTAAATTTTGTTTTACTTATGTACAGGGTTTTTATTTGTTGTTTTTTAAATGATGTCTTCTTTTGGGATTATTTAAAAGTCTCACTGATGGAGTTTCATTCTTAGAAGCATCCTGTCCTTCTCGAGGTGTCCGACTTTTGGAGTCACACATCACAGGCTCAGACCTACCTCCCCCAGGCCCTCTGAGTCTTTGGGTCGAAGGTCTGGCCTGCCCCGCCCCAGCGCCCTGCCCATGGACGCACCTCCTCCAGGCTCCCTTGCCTTCCGGAAGGGAAACCTAGGGCTCAACAAGTCACACTTAAAAGCTGCTCATGTTTAGGCAGAAGACATGTCCAGCAGAGGTTCCTGTAGGCCAAGTCTGCCCTCCTAGCCTTTTCTTCTTGCTTCTGTAAATAACTCCATCTTCCTTAGGAAAATGCAACTTTCTCTTCTGCAAGGCTGGATGACATGCAGCAAAGTAACCGGCTCTCTTCCTCTGAGCTGTCACTCGAGCACACTTCACCACACGGGGCCCTGAGGTGCATGAATCCACGTGGATTTACACCTCAGTGCACACAGCTGTGTCCCAACCGTCATCCCCTGCAGATGCTACTATCTCTACTCAGTTGTAAGAAAAGGCAAATTTGACAATTTGCAAGACCCAAGAGAGCACTAAATAGCACAGAATTCCCATCTCAGCCCCGAATACGCACCTTCCGCATTGAGGTGCATGGTCTCCAGGGGCCCGATGAACGCGTACCGCGTGCCCAGCCCTTCCGACATGACGAGGTCGAGGTCGGTGGGAGACACTACTCCATCCTGCGTGGGGAAAACGGGCGGCACACACATGAGTTCTCTGCAAAGACAATTTCCTTACCATCTCTTCCATCCGAACTCCTTTATTATTTATTTATTTATTTATTTATTTTTTTGAGACAGGGTCTCACTTTGTTGCCCAGGCTAGAGTGAGTGCCGTGGCATCAGCCTAGCTCACAGCAACCTCAAACTCCTGGGCTCAAGCGATCCTCCTGCCTCAGCCTCCCAAGTAGCTGGGACTACAGGCATGCGCCACCATGCCTGGCTAATTTTTTCTATATATATTAGTTGGCCAATTAATTTCTTTCTATTTATAGTAGAGACAAGGTCTTGCTCTTGCTCAGGCTGGTTCGAACTCCTGACCTCGAGCAATCCGCCCGCCTCGGCCTCCCGGAGTGTTAGGATTACAGGCGTGAAGCCACCGCGCCCGGCCTGAACTCCTTTAGAGCAGGATCCCAAAATACTCTCTGAAGCGCTAAACAGGCTGCGTATTCCTCATCTGAAACGCTTGGGACTGGAAAGGTCTCAGGTTCCAGATGGTTTTCAGATTTTAGAACACGTGCATGTGCGTAGTATCTTGGGGATGGGGCCCAAGTCTAAACACGAAATTCATTTGTTTCACAGACACAAGTAGCCTGAATGAAATTTTATACAATATTTTTCAGTAACCGTGCACATGAAAAAATGTGTGTACACTGAACCCTTAGAAAGCAAAGCGGTCACTATCTCACTTCGGCACTCAAAAATTTGCAGATTTTGGAGCATTCTGGATTTCAGATTTGGGATACTCAACCTGTAATTATATTTTGATTAAGTTTTGCATGAGAAAACTATAATATATAATGGGTCCTGAAAAGATACTATTTTGTGAAATGGCCAAATACCAATTCACCTTTCCCCTCCCTGCAATCCATCCGGGCTTGAGGTCAATCCCTCCCCACCGCACCCTTCAGCCTGTGGACACCTGCAGCTGCGGGGGCAGGGAGGAAGGGGCACAGGAGGAAAAGTGCGGGGGGCCTGTCTGGATACCTGCCAGGATGCGGGGCTGAGATCAGAGCCATCCAGAGCGGGAGGGAGGTGTGCTGTAGGCTTCACCTGCCTGTGAGTCCCACCTTGCCAGCTGTTAATGAGTACATAGAAAGTGATATTCTTTGATGAAATGTAGCTTAGAACCATGGGTTTTTTTGCCAAGGTGGGGCCCTAGAATCATCTGCAAATGTGAATTGCAAAGCAAGAGGCGTTGAGGTGAGATGTCCAATCTGCCACCTGTGTTACTTGGCCTCATGCTACTTTGGGGATGAAGCAGGAAGCCACTGCAGTTCACTCCCTTGGGGGTGTCTTCACCGTGGGCATTTGACTGGCAGTGGCGGCCTTGTGGGAAGCCGTCACGTTCTGCCCTACACCTTCACAGGTCAGACTGGCAGGTTCCTGGGGACTCTGCCACTCCAGGTCTCATCTCCTGAGCGCTGCTGCCTCTCACAGACAGTGCTGTGGGGACAGAGGCCACTAACGCCATCGGCAGCCTGGTGGCCCTGGCAGCCCTCAGCTGGGAACCTGACTCTCCTACCCCAGGGGCACATCCACACAGCTGCTTCCGGTTCCAGCCACCAGCCGGGCAGGCTGCCCACCACGTGTGTCCCCTTGGCTTGGGCTGTGGGCAAAGCCTCTGCCTCTCCCTGGAAGGGCTGCCTGTCGGCACAGGGCACAGCCTCCCACCTTGCAGGTGGCCCCTGCTGTCCCGCTGCCACCTGTGGGACCTCCTGCTTCCAAGCTCCAAAGGCCACCACCCAAGAAGCTGAGCAAGAAAGGGGATTTGCAACCCCCGTCACTGGCACCTCAGCTGCTGTGGGTGACACACAGGTGGTCTCAGGTGTGGGTGGCAGTTTGGACACCAGGTTCACCTGCAAAGAGCTCCGTGGTGATGCAGGAGCAGAGGACGGAGCCCAGAACCAAGACGGAGACAGCCAGGCGGCGGTGAGGGCAAGTGTGCTGACTGCGCCCGGCAACTCCCTCTTCGAGAGCCGCTTTACTTAGTTTTGCAGACGACGCTGAGCTGTGCTCGGAAGCGGGTGCACCGTGCTCCCTGCCGCCAGCACCGCGTGGGAGAGTCCCCACCGCTCCGTGTCCTCTCCGACACTCGGTGTCCCCAGGCTTGCTAAACTGGTAGGGAACAGGGTGTCTGCTCGTTCTAAATCATCCCACCCTGTGTTCGTCGGGGCTGCTAAGGAGAACAAATTAATTTATCCGGTTCCCTCAAACGCTGACAAGGTTCGCCTCCTCGCACTTCCAATAGCAAAGCTGTAGGGGAGGGCGCGTCACTGAGGCACATGTACAAAGAGAAGCCCCTTAAATCTTTAAAAGATTCTTAAAAACTCAAACAGAGTAATGAGCACTAAGACCACTGTTAGTTCAAAACCTGGTTTTTGTACCATGTCCTGAAAAACCACTAGGCAGAGTGCTAAGGACTCCTCTTTACTGGAAAACTTCTTGCCTCTACTTCCTTTAGCTACAGGCCGAGACTTACTGCCACCAACTAATGTGTGCGCCTGGCCAGGGCAGGAACTTTGTACCTGGAACACTGGAGTCAGCACCTGGCTGGGGGAACCACAGACTCATCTGTGAAGCAGGAGAAAATTCGAGATAGTCAGTGAAGCACTCGATTACTACGGTACGACTTGTAAGCATCACCAGGGTTTAGGGATGTAAGAGGCAGGGTCCCACCGGGGAGACAGAGCCAGCAGGACACACAGACTCATACCGCGCGGACCCGGCACATGCCATCGTGGGGCTGGCAGGTCTCGAGCCCACAAGAGAGGCTGCAGCTTGGCAGGAGCCGACCCTGCAGTCCACAGGTGGAGTTTCTCCTTCCTCAGGGAAACCTCAGTACTGCTTTTAAGGCCTTTCAACCAACTGGATTTAGCCCACTCCGATTGTGGATAATAATCTCCTTTACTTCAAGTCAACTGAGCTACAAAATACCTTCCCAGACACACGCAGACTGTGCTTGCCTGAACGGGTGCACCGCCTGGAGAGCTGACCTCGCAGGGGTGTTTGCTTGTGGGGTGGGGAGAAGAGGCAGCAAGGCACGTCTGATGACTAACAATAGCAAGAGGTCAAAGGGGGCCGTGCTACTTGCTCTGGTCTTTGCACCAGACCCGGAAGGAGGGGCAGGCAGGTGGGTCTTGCGGGGTTGGGGTATGTGATATTCGATGCATGGTCCCCTGCGACCACTTCCTCTACTGATCACCAGCCTCACAGAGTTATCTTCCCTTCTCCCTGATCATCCCAGTCTTATGTATTTTTTGCATGCCTCTGTTTTCATTTTCCTTTTTTTCAAAAACAAATTCCCAGCTTTTGATATATTCTATTTTGTTTTGTCCTACTTTTCCCCAAACTTGATCCCGAATTTTCATGTTTTTCTTGTGCAAACACTGCTTTAACTTTACTACCACCACCACCACCACCAGGAACTCAGACTTGCCACCCAGGAATCCAGACGAGGTTTTACGTAAGTACTTCCCCACCCTCCTCAAGCAGAGCTGTCCATCGTCTTAACTGAGAAACAGCAGAAAGGTGAAGATTCAAGAGTAGGAAGACGTTCTGTCTTAGGTGAGCATCAGACGATGACATGCAATAGTGAGAAGCAGAGTGCTATGCCCTCTTCAATCCTACAAGGGCGACCTGAAAGAGGCGCCAGGCTTGTTGGTATCACCCAGGTCAGAGGCCAAGGAGACGAGACTACAGGCAGCGAGTCCACCTGAATCTTTAGTTAGAGCAAGCATGGACCAAAGTTCAACTTCAGTGAGTAATCCAGAGATGCTCCAGGATAGACCGGACAAGAACCACCACTGGTGTGGGAATGACTCGAGCAGGAGCCGGGGTGCTGGACCGTCCCTCTGGCTGAAACGCCCAGGCCGGGCGTCCTTGCAAATGGCACGTGGAGTGGAAGAGTTACAGGTCAAGTTTAAATTCAGAACCAGCATGAAGATGCACGAGCCTCTCCCGAGAACCCAACTGGTGCCGGGTCAGCGCCCTCCACTGACATCGACCGTACGCACACGCTTTTGTCCCTGCGCTCGTGCACCGCTTCTCCCACGTGCGACGTGAAACGGCTCCAGAGCAAGGGTGACAAAGATCTGACCCCACGGTCCCCACCCACACCGCCTCCCAGGGAGAAGGTGAGGCCAATATTGGCCCCTAATAAGGAGAGATGAAAGACTGCTGAGTGCTGCCCACTATTACTGGCAGGCTCGTGGTCGGGTTGTGAGCTGCCGGGTCTGCTGCCAACACTCACAGGTTTTCTTGGAAGTAGGACACAGACATTCCTGCAGAGTGACTCGGGCAGGTTTTGCTGACTCTAGGAGAGCTGTTTGAACACCACACTGAACTGATGCAACAGGACACTGAATCATGCCCGTAAAACACCCATCCTGTCGAGAGCCTTCTGGGAGGACGCAAGAAACGCCGGGTGGACACACCGGTCAGGCTGCTGGGAAACAAACCCACACGCAGCTAGCGGCCAGAGGCGGGTCTCACCTCTGGGAGGCGTCTTGGCTCCATCAAGTCTGTCAGGTCATAAAAATGCCACGGACAGGGCTAGCCCGGTCCTGGGAACAATCCCACAGAAAGGCCCCCAAAAGAGAGACTGTGCAGAGAGGAGAGGCTCGCTGAGGCGTCATCATGGCAGAAAACCCAAAACTATCATACCCTGAAACAACCCCCCGATAGACCAGATCAGGAAATTTTTAGATTAAAAATCAGATCAACTAAATGAAATATCATGAACCCATTAAAACTGAATACAAGTTTGAGCAATGTGTTTACAACAGAATAGACAAGAACACCAGAAAACTGAAGTAGTCTGACTTAGGGTAAACACAGGTGTTTTTTCCCCCCTTTGAATTTTCTTCAAAATAGTTTTAAAATAGAAACAACCCAAAAACCGGAAGGGAAAGAGAGGAAAGACTTTGCCCTCATAAAAGGGACGTTCCAGAGCTTGTTAGGCCCCAGTGACAGTCCCTGCTGCTTCTTGGCCTGCAGTGATGCGTGACAATGACTTCAGGAGGAGAAACAGTGTCATGGAGTCTGAAAGAAAGGAAAGGTCTTGACCTTAAGAACAAACAACAACAAAGAGAATCCCTCCTTTCGTGTGGAAGTGAGTTCACCGTTGCCCAGCAAGGGCCGGACACTCACCTGGCTGGTCCTCTGGGAATACAGTTTAGTGCAAAGAGTCGTGAACCAAAGCGTGCAAGTCCCTAAGCCAACAGAAAGAGCAGCACAAGCCCTGTCTCTGCGCCCCACCCCCATACTTCCCTGGGGGGCTTCATGCCCTGGCCCGGAGCAGCCCCCCTCCTGCAGGAGAGGGAAGGCAGGGAGGCTGTGGCTCCCACAGGGCAATGGGCCCACAGACAGTGTCATTCGTCACATGCACACTCCTTTGACTGTACTCTTGGGGACGCCTTCTGCCCTCCCATCCCTGTTTCAGGGCCCACGGCCACCACCCATTAACTTCTGAGCTGCAAACCGAGGGGCTGACATCCGTCACTTGTGTTCACGGCTGGGCACCTGCTTGGGGGGGGGGTTGGCAGTGAGGTGCTGCCGTAACAGCAGTTTTATTTGCGGGGTTTGTCAGAGTTGTTATACTAGCATAGCAGCTTGCAGCGGCTTTGGTTTTTCATAATGTGTATGTGGTTGATGTTATTTATGTTTGTTAATCGGGATATAGTTATCTCTAAAATAGTAAGTCAGCAGTTCTTTCTTTTCAACAGGGTTTTGTTGCTCACCAATGTGACTACTCAGAAAATGACCACCCACTAAATAAATATCATCATGAAAACAGTCCATTTCTCACTGAGAATCACTGCTAGAAAGTTCTAACTAGCTGATGATTCCCAGTCAGCACATAAAGTTTTCTTCGCTGAAGACTCTCCTGTGGTCACTACATAGCTGAGATTCCCAGTCCTAATTTTAAGATACTGAATACTTCGGTATCCCAAAAGAGATGTGGAAATTGATTAAGGAAAAAGAGATTTCATTCACTTCTAGTTAAACGCATAAACCTATCCAAACAAATGCAGGAAGCTCGCTGGGAGGAGCCGTGGACGGCCCCTGGAGGGTGGGGCCGTGCGGTTCTCCTGGAGAAGGGCCGGCGGGATGCTGTGTCGGGCTGCAGGCTGCGGCCGCGCGGGACGTGTCCGGAGGGAAGCCGTCAGAGGGTGCAGAGTTACAGCTCAGACACTGCTGACGTGTGTCTGTGCAATTGGCGGGAAGAGTTACATCAAGCCACGGGCCCGGACACAAGGCAGTTAGAGGAGCCGAGAAAGACCCAACCACCCGCCCCTACCCTGCACCCCCAGCTGGAGTTTCCTACATTTTATGTATTTTAAAATTTAATCTTAAAAGTTTAGGATTTCTTTTTTTTTTTTTTTTAAGAAACAGTGATCTTGAGATACACTTCATTAACTGAAATGATTCCTAACAGCTGCATTCGTGTCTGAAATACGGCTCAGTGACAGAGCTCTGGAATCCCAGGGCCCCGTCCAGATGCCACCAGCCACACCCTCCCTGATGATCAAGAGACCAAGCACTGAATTTGTGCCGCGTAGGGCCCTAAGCACAGAAATCCTGCACAGGGATGACATTGCCCAGAAGGACGGATAAAACCTAAAGTCATCGATTTCCAAGGCCGCCATCGCGGCCATCTCGAGACCCTGCAGACGGCTTCCTGATTCACTCCTGGCACCTCCACCTGTCCCATCCTGAAGGAAAGAATTTACAGGCAACAGACTCAGCTACTGTCTGGCCAGGAGTTTATCGTCACAACACAGCATCCCTTTCATTGTACTAGTGCCTTAAGGACACTGACTTGAAATGACATTCCCAGCCAACTGGCACTGTCAGCCACCGAGTACAAACGTGCACAAATCCAAAATCAGAAATCCAAAACGTTTCTGGTCCTAAGCATTTTGAATAAGGGATGATCAATCTGCACTACCTTGATAGCAAAATCAAAGAAAGAGAGTACAAAGAAAACTGCAGAAGAATATCTCTTATGAATTTAGATATAAAACTACAAACTAAAACAAACAAAAAGGCAGGTAGGCTGGGTACAGTGGCTCACACCTGTAACCCTAGCAATTTGTGAGGCTGAGGTGGGAGGATAGCTTGAGGCCAGGAATTCAAGACCATCCTGAGCAGCATAGGGAGACCCTCCCCCCCCTCCCGCCGTCTCTACAAAAAATAGAAAAACGAGCCGGGCATGGTGGCACATGCCACATGCCACCACATGCCATGTAGTCCCAGCTACTTAGGAGGCTGAGGCAGGAGGGTGGCTTGAGCTCAAGAGTTGGAGGTCGCAGTGAGCTATGATGACACCACGGCACTCTAGCTCTAGCAATAAAGTGAGACCCTGTCTCAACTAAAAGAATAAAACAAAACACCAAAACATAAGCAGGTCAAATCCAGCATTGTCTAAAAAGAATGACACTCCACAACCCAGCAGGATTTATTCCAGGCACGCAAGGCTGGTTGAACACGCGGCAGTCAGTCAGTGTGAGCCACACTGTCAATGGTTAGCGAGCGGCTGTGCAGCTTCCTCTGTCCCTTCAACACTGGCACCACGTGGTCAAGACACCACCGTGCCAGGTGGGAACACAAGCCAGGCCCACTGTCCCGTCCTGCTCCAGCTCATGCCCCGGCTTGGGGGTCAGCCCCTAATTCACGCCCAATTCGATTTGCACAGAGCTGTTCCCCCACAGACAGCAGGGAATGGCGTCCCTTCCCGCACCTGCTGACCCAGCACCAGGGACGCCTGGACACAGGTGTGGGGGCTTCTAAGAGGCCCCTCAGCAGCCGGAGCCAAGTCACCTGGTGCTCTTCCTCCCCTGAGAGCACCGCAGCCCTAGCCAATTACTAAGCCTCGCGTGGGTCAGACAGCAGAGGCTGTCACCAAACTCTAGTTGGCTTTGCGAGTCCCTGAGGGGCCACTGCCCCTGCTGGACACTCACTCTGCTCACTACGGTCAGGTGCTCCGGACACAGGCCCACCCCAGCCTCTCTTGGAAGGAGGGCCCCTGTGAGGCCTTTGGATCTTTTGAGCCGAAAACATGCAAAAGACTCCCCCAATTCCACTCCTTGTTAAAGCAGCTCTTAAAGTTTGGAGATAAACTTGGAACTCCCCAAATCTAAGTTGAAGTTCAGCTGTTGAAATACTCCAAGATATAAATTCAAGTTCGACTGGCTTTGAAGTCGTGAGTCAAAGCGGTGTCATTCAACCCCTCGGGGACTGTGGCTCAAGGCACACATGCAAATTTGCAAAAGGTGGAGGTGGGGCTCTGGGGAGGTTTGCTAACTTGCAGGATCTGAAGCAGAAACAGGCCACAGCAGCAGAGGTTTCCTTTTAAGAAATTCATACAATAAAGGCAAGAATCCTCAAACCAACCCACTTCATGGGAACCGCGCCAGGTACACCACTGCCTGCTCAGGCAGGTACATCAGTCGCGGGCAAGATTTCTCAAGGGCAACCTTGAGAGGAAGCAAGCTTTACCACCGAGCCTAGAGCCTTCCAGAAAATAGTGCTTCCACATGCCCACCCCACTGGGGGAGGAGGACTTGGGGTTTCTAGACATGCCTGGGTCCTCACCATGTCTGTATGTCATCTTTACTTTTTTTAAAAAAATCATCTTCTAGACTTTCACCAAAGGCAACCCTTTGGGTCTATTCACACTTTCTTAACCTTCCCATATCCGTTGGCCTCTTTAGCCCTTGGTTCCTTACAGGGACTCTAGCACGCGAGTCCCCACAGCAGCCAGCACAGACACCCGCAGGGTCCGCTTTCTCAGGAGGCCTAACGCTGACCCGACTGATGTTCAGAAACACCCACAACCGCTGAGAAACTCAGCCTGCCAGCTGAGTGCGGATCCCAGCCCCGCTGCTGGGCGATGCAGGGGCACCAAGCGAATCTAGCCAGCGAGACGCAGAGCCGGTTACCGTGCGGCACGGAGCACCCACGGGGACCTGGCGGGACACCAGCGCGGGCTCCGGAGGCCCACGTCCGTCTCGCACATCCGCCCGGCCCGGAAGAACTGCTGGGAAACCAGCACACGACGCCCAAGGAACCGAGGCCCGCCGGCTCCCTGGTTCCCGCCTCAGGCGTGGCTGGGCGCGTCCAAGCGAGTCAGCACTCGGATCTGCGTGGACCCGTGCCAGGAGCAGACGACCCGAGCCTGAGCACCATCCTCCTCACCTCCCATCACTTGCAAGCCCCTCACGCTCCCTACTGTGCTTCCGTGGCACAGGTGTGGGCAGAAGCTGGGAAAGCACCAGAACGGAAACCAAACAGCCGACTCCCAGACCCCGGGGCTGCTCTGACCTCTGCCCTGCCAGGCGCCCGTCCCTCGCGCAAACGCACACGGGAACGCTGGTGTTCCTTGTTTCTTCTTGAACTAATTAGAATCCTTCAGGGGACACAAGTTTATTTTACAAAAAATATATTTTTTTCCACTGGAAAAATTACAACCCTCGGAGGTAAAACCCGACTCTGTGGGTAAAGGCAGCACGCGGCACACAAGGAGTCACCTGGTCATGCCGTGAAAGGGCAGGAGAGAGACAAGTGTATCACTGTGTCCTAACATCCAGCGACCGGCTGGCTGTAAGGGGAAGCTCCCCAACTGACCATGAGTTGCTATGCTGTATTTTCAAAGCTTGGTCTCCAAAATAGAGCAAGAAAAGACCAGGCACCCTCTGACTTTCTCAGCTTGCAGGGTGCCTGGGAAGCAACTTTCTCTGTCCTGCTCAGTCAAGGAGGGAGGCAGGGAGAGAGGGAGGGAGGCCGGGAGAGAGGGAGGGAGGGAGGCAGGGGTGCACGCACCTCCACCAGCCGCCAGGCCTCGCTGATGACCGCGTACTGCAGGCGGTTCAGGGCGAAGCCGTCCACCTCCTTCAGCAGGCGCACGGGGCACTGTCCGATCTTCTGCAGCAGGGCGTGGGTTCTGTCCACCGTGGCAGGGGCCGTCTCCGGGTGTGGGACCAGCTCGACCAGAGGGACGAAGTACGGTGGGTTCACCTTAGGGGAGGGAGAGAGGGAGGGGCGTCAAGGAGAGGGCGCTGGAGTTCGGGGTGTTGCTCTGGCCGACTCTGCCCACCAGCTCAAACGGCCACATGGGGCAAACACATCTTTGGAAAGGCCCCTTTAGTTTCAGCATCCAACAACAAGAAACTTAAGGAATTTATGCACAAAGAATAAGAAACAAGAGAATTTGAACAATGAATCACGTGGTTTTCTTTTTTTTAAAGAGAGCAAACATAACTAACATATAAGGCTAAGCTCTGGAGGTCAGCTCACCATCCTGTGTGTTTGCTGCTAATCTCCACCCCCGGCCTCTCCAGCGGGGGGTTCTCGGCTGCCTCCCCCTCACCACCCTCCGGAAGCACATCTACCCACTGCAGTCACCGTCAAACACTACTAGCAGCATCTTCCCCAAACTCGGTGTTCCCTGAATCCCTCTCCCTGCTGCACCGCCAACGTCTGCCTCCCCGTCTGGCGCTGCCGGCTCGCTCCGGATGGAAATGGCCGCTCGGCAGCTCCACGCCGTCATGCGCAGGAGGCGGGCGGCACAGTCCCAGGGAGCAGGCCCCGAGCGAGGCTGCCCAGCCCAAGATGCGACCTTCCTGCCCCTGCTTCCCTGGTTTGCCCTGCTGAGCTGTTCTTGGAGATTCCCGCAGAGTCGCCCGAGGAAAACAGTGCTAGGTACAGCCTGACTGGCCTCACCGAGCCAAACATACTGCAGCAAACCGGCCCCCAAATGATGCTGGGAAATGGCTTTTCCCCCACACCTGGGTCATCAGTAGGGTGTCACGTGTGTTACGAGAAACGTCTATTAGCGAGAAGCGCCCACGTGAAGGTGTCTCCGCAGGAGAGGGGAGAGAGACCCGGCTGCTGCCCGGGGGCGGCATCGGTCCCCACGGGGCTCCTCCACCCCCGCCGTGCCGGACACTCCCTCAGCCCCTTGGAGCAAGCGAGAACGGCACCTGTCTCCACGTAAAAATCAGGGTCGTGAGAACTGGGAGCGTGTCTGTCTCAGGTGGATTCGACCTCACGACAAAACAGGGCTGCCGGGCCCGGGTCTTCAGCGCCCTAGTGCCACGGTGGCAACCGCAGACTGAGACGAGTAGGCAGAAAGCACTTCCACGTGCGGCTCGCCAGCTGCCCCGTCCCGGCCTGCTCCACAGCTGCCCTCCGGCCCACACTTTGCCCGCGAGACTGCACTTCCGGCCTGCCACGGTGGCCCCGTCCACGCCCACTCCCCAGGCGTCACCCCCACCAAGCGTGCCTCACAGATCTCAGGCCCACGCGTGTGACCACACACCCGACACGCCGCCACACAGACCCGCCTGGCACTCGCCACCCTTGTGGCTGCTGCACCCAGGCGGGTGTCCTTCTTCCTGGCTCTCGTCTCACATCCCCACACCCAAGTCAGCACCAAGAGGGGCGTCCTTGGGCCCTGCCTCCCTGATGTCCCATCAGCGACAAAGCCCAGTTAATTCTCTCCCTGTCAATTCATCTCTCATGAGACCCATTCCTGATGCCTCCCTCCTCCCTTAGCTCAGAACCCACTTTCCAACTTCATTCCACCCCCTTTGCAGGCATCCCGGGTCCTGCCTTCCCCAGCGCATCCCGGCACTGCTGCCAGAGCCACCCTTGGTGAGACGGATCCTGCCGGGATCCATGGCGACAGGAAACAGAATAGAGGTTGCATGGGGCTGTGGGGAGGGGTAGTGGGAGTTCGTGTTTAACGGGTACAGAGATTCTGTCAGATGACAAGAATTCTGGAGATGGACAGTGGTGACAGTCGCACAATGTGGACATGCTTAATGCCACCGAACTGCACACTTAAAAATGGTTAAGATGGCAAATTTTATGCAATGTGTGTTTTTCCACAGTTAAAACTTAGGAAAATAAAACACAGGGCCTTGATCATTGCCCCTCCAGCTCAAAACCCTGCAGTGACAGCCCCACACTGCCCACCATAAAAGGCACACAACTGAGGGACACGGGGCCACCTGCAGTCCACTCTCTGCACCTCCCAAAGGAACCTCTCTCCACACCCCGCATTCACCGCCAACAGGGGCGCGGGTGGATTCAGTGTCAGACAGGGCGAGTCAGAAAAGGCACAGGTGCGGAGCCCGGGGACGCGGCCTGGGCAGGAAGCAGGCCCGGGCTCGGACTCAGCCTGCGACAGCCGCTCCTGTCTTCGGGTCCCCACTGCAGATGGCCCCCACCATGACCAAGACTGAGACCCCCACCAGCTCTCAGGACTGTCACCTCCCCCCCAGAGATAAGGAAGAGAAAAAGTGCAGCAGCCTTTGCAAAGTGTGGCTACACTACGAGCAGAGAACTGCTGCTCTGAGGCGAGGACAGGAAGCGTGTCCAGGACAGAGGGAAGGGCTGTATTACAGCCTGTCCTAGCCTTCAGTGACGGGTGCCCACGGCCCTTCCCGGGCCCTGGTCTAGGAAGCCCACCCTGACAGCCCTCTGAACTCCCGGGGACGAGAGCATGTGCCCACCCAGCCACCCACGGGAACACCAGGCTGGCACCACTCCATGCAGGGCGGAGGCAGCAGCAATCCTTCGGGATTGCGGAATATGCGCTTTTGCCAGGGCACGAGCAGGCCTCCCTTTCCTTCATCCCATTTCCTGTCCAAAGATCACTGATGACTAAAGCTTCTCAAAGGTGATGTGTGGTTCTTTTTCCTTTTTTAGGGTCTGGCCTCTCTCCGTGGCACAACGGAGAGGCCAGCTGCTCCAACGCAGCAGAAAGAAAGGATGAAATCCCAAGATAGTTAACTCGGGTTATCTGATTTGCTTCAAAGTTGGTTTTGGTCAAAAATAATTTAAACAGATTAATTTTAAAAATAAGGTCTGGACTTTATACTGTTTGTCTAATTGAATAAGTGAAAGCAGGCAACACTGGGATGGAGGAGAATGGGGATGAGGGGGAGAAATGTCATTCAACAATTACCGACTGCCCCACTGGCCCGAGGACTGGGCTGGGTGTGACAGAGAAGAAAGTGACTCAGGTGCCATCTCACCCATCAGGTAGTTTAAAGTTGAAGAGATGTGGCAAAGGTCTTGTCAAAGAACTCAGGAAGTATATGCTGACTTAGTTTTGTTTTCAACTAAGAAGTAAAAACCCAGATTAGAATTGGGATGCTTCAGGCGTGAGGCTCACGCCTTCCACTGAGGCAATCAAGTAACCGCCTAGTGAGTGCTCAGGTTTCCGAGAGTCCTGTGTATGGGCGTGGATATGTCACAGGAGCAAAGACGTAGCAGGCTTCCTGGGACTTGGATGTTTGGGGGCTTTCACTTAGGGCCCCTCCTGGTGCTCGTCTCACTTGTATTTGAGTGGTGACTAAATGTGAGTGGTTCTCCTCTCTGTTCTATGGGCCTCAGCCTCCTTGTTTTATAACCAGCCCTCACTGTTTCCACTACATTCCAGTGCACGGCAAAACGCCCAGAACCACACAGCCACGTTCACAGCAGTCCAAGCTGCCCCTCTGCTCAGCGTATAAAATCCGGTAGGTCCACAGCTCACTCTTCACCTCCCTGAGCAAATCTGACCCCTCCCCACTCTCAACTGCTCTTGCTAAGAGAAACTTCCCCGGCTGAGAGCAGGCCACTCGTGCTTGGAACACTGCCTGCGTCCTGCTCCTCTCTGAGCCACGTCCACACCAGGACAGGCCGTCACGTCACCTCCCCAGGCAGCGCTGGCACATGACGTGGCTGCTCTGCGCCTGCGCCGTCCCGATCCTTCGGAGTAACTCTCCTGCGTCTGTGTAAGCCGAGCATCCCCCAGCCTTCCCGCCTCCCCACGGCTCCCAGGCACATGTGCTCCCTCCCGCTCAATCGAGCTTCTTCTTGCCCTGGGGTCTGTGTGTGTGGTGCTCGCCCCCAGCCTCAAACCCTCTCTTCCCCTCATCAGCCCAGCCACACGCTAGCCAGGCTGGCCCCAGCTTGGCTGTGTCACCTCTCCCCGGCCTGAACCTCTGATGACCCAGTGGTGCCAGGGTGTGGCCACCATCATACACCGTCACGTTTACCACGGCTGGAGCTAAGTCGGCTTTACCTGTCCCAACAGGCTGTCCTGGTTCTCCAAGATCATGCCGAGCTCACAGTTGGGACTCAAATGTCTTCCCGGAGTGATCCCTGAATCTCCTCCTTCATCCCCTTCCCTCCCATCAGTGCCTTAACCTCAGAGACCCGCTGGGCGCTGGCATGCAGAACTCGCTTGGAACTCACTGTCCAGTACACCTCGTCGTGTGCTCCCAGCAAACAAGCTTGCATGGATAACACGACAGATGGGTGGGAGGGACAGCCAGGGGAAAAGGGGCTTCAGTCAGACCTGCTGGATCAGAATCCCAGGAGAGGGCTGAGAATCTGCATTTTAATGCACCCAATGCTACTCTGAATTGTGTTCAGTAAACTTCACAGTACAAATGACACAGTGCAAGTGACATCTATAAAACCCTCCTCTGTGTATACATTTTTAATGCAGCACTTTTACCCTGTTAGTGGAATTCCTTGGTTAGTCATTAGCCTCCTCTGCTGCACGGTAAAGTCACCTAAGGGCAAAAGCCTCACAGCATTGCTAATTCCACTGTGCGTTAGGTACACAGGAAAAAAAAAAAAAAAAAGAATTTTTGGATAAATTCTTTTTTAAAACGCTGCCATTCCACAACTCTGAAAATATACTAAGAATCATTGAACTGTACGACTTCAAGTGATGAATTGTGTGGTATGTGAATCTTATCTCAGTAGAGCAATTCAAAATTCTAGTGGGTCAGTCACACTTTATGGCCCCCGGACGAGACTCAGTGAACCCCCAGGTTTAAGACACTCACAGGGTGAGCCACCAGGCACTGCCGCACGTGCACCAAGCTGGCAAACAGCTTGGAGGGCAGGAGGCAAGAGCTGGAGCTGCTGAGGACAACCTTGTCATCCACGATGCTATCCAGCTGCGCGAAGATCTTCTTCTTCAGCTCTAGGTTTTCTGGAACACATTCCTGAAATAGAACATAGTTAAATTACTACTTGTGATCACTGTGTTCAGTCAGGTTCCAAGCAAAGCAGGTCTTGTTCGATTCATTACCAAAGTGAACTAATTTGAAAATGATGGGGGGTTCAGGACATGTTACCCCAAAATATGGCATCGTGGCATTTGAGAAAACAGCTGAAGCAAGAAGGTCTCTCTGACCTTTTCCTGCTCTTCTCCCCCGCCCAGCAGGTCACATGACCCTCACTCCAGTGGTGCCCTCCCTATTCCCAGAGGAAAAGAGAAAAGTCCTTATCTCTGCAGACTCGGGCTTTGCCAAGTTCCCCCCAGTCTATCGCCATTAGATCAGACCCCTTTGTCCAACACATCTCTAAACAACTGCCCACTCTTCGTACCTAAGCATAAAAATACGTAAGTTCCCTGTGCCTTTGGGTCTCCATGTCTGAGGCTCCTGTCACATAAAGCTTGTTAAATAGATCTGTGTGCTCTTCTCCTGTTAATCTGCTTTTTGTTATAGGGGGTTCAGCTATGAACCTTTTAACAGATGAATGGATTTTTACTTTTTTCTCCCCTAAAAAAAACACCAGCACAATTGAACAAGAAAGGGCTGCTGAAACACGAAAAATCTTGCTATCTCTGGAAAGTAAGTGATGAATACCTGGAAGCTTGCAGCGCTTCCTAGTTTTGAATAGGTCTGAAGATTCTCATAGTAAAGCCTGCCAACCATATGGGGGTGGCTTCTACAAACAGAACACCCAGCAGCACCCCGGGCAAACTGCTGGAACATCAGCAGTCGTCATCAGCACTTACTCCCATATCTGTCCCGACCATCAGATCAACTGGTCTTCAGGCGAAAATCTCATCCTCATGCAATGAATAAACGTGTTCGTGGGTAATTCCCTCCCACCTTTGGAGTCTCTGAAGTCTATTATTTTCTCCTTGTTCTGTAGGTTATTTATTCTGTTGATTGTTTCTTTTGCTATGCAGAAGCTTTTTAGTTTAATTAAGTCCTATTTGTTTATTTTTGTTTTGTTGCCAAAGGCTCCTTGAGAATCTATGTCTAATTAGAAGTACTTTTGAAAAAGACCTTTGTTTCTAAAAATCTAAAATTACTTTAATAGGGGTATAAGGGAGGGGACAGAGAAGCAAATTTGGATTAAACACTGCAGATAACCACCACTCTGAAACTCTAATTACAAAGCTGGGGAGGGAGGGAGATGCCACCTTCACACCCCAGCGCTGGCCCTTGGGTGAGGTGCGTTCCTGGGAAGGTGAGGACGCAGTAGACGCTGCCCTGCCGGGGCTGGCAGGGGAACAGGAGGCGGTGGCTGGAGCTGCCCGGACACTGGGCACACTAGAGCTGTCCTTCCCTCCCTGCCACCTGCACCTCCGGGGATCGCACCAGGGGTCGCTCCTGCCCAAGGTGGGTCCCTGCTCACCTGGGGGCCACAGGTGCTGTAGGGGAGACGGTGTGGACTCCCAACACTCCCTGGCGACCTGAGGATGATGATTCTCAGTGTGGTCTAGTAACACTCAATCAGAATCAGTTGCGAGCTTGTTAAAAATGCAAATTCGCAGGCCCTTATCGCAGACCTACTGCATCAGAGTCTGGGAGGGGGGGAGGTGTCCAGGCATCTGCAATTTCAATAAGCATTCTGATGATTCCTTTTCTGGCTAAAGTTTGAGAACCACTATTCTGAGGCGTGTACCCAGTGTGTGGGTGGCGGTACTCAGTGTGCTGTGCTAGCAAACGTGCCCGCGATCTCCTCTGCACCCTCATGTCAGCTTCCCCCTCCCCTCCCAGCTACTCAGGGACAAAACAAATGTGCCCTGATGGGAAAAATGAGAAGTTAGCACTGTGGTCATTCCATGGTCTCTAACCACCTGGCCAATTTCCTGGAAATGCTAAATTTACATGCAAGGTAGTGAAGATAGCATAACACCAGCAGATAACCAGAAGCACGCAAAGGGAAATTCAATGTTGAAGTACTACTAGCAATTATATCAGAATCACCCCTCAAAAATAAAAGATTTTCAAGTTTGATTTAATAATATCTAATAGGTAAGAATATCTAATACAGAGGTCCTCAAACTTTTTAAACAGGGGGCCAGTTCACTGTCCCTCAGACAGTTGGAGGACTGGACTATAGTTAAAAAAAAAAACAACTATGAACAAATTTCTAAGCACACTGCACATCTTATTTTGAAGTAAAGAAACAAACGGGAAAAAAGACCTGCATGTGGTCTGTGGGCCGTAGTTTGAGGATGCCTGATCTAATATATTGAAATCAGCCATGTAAATAGTAAGACACATGAATTTTGCTTCTACATCATCTCCAAGTTTTATTCTGAGGGTAGGGAGTCCATTTTTTATTTTTTATACTTTATAAAAATATAACCAAACCATGTGAAATTTTATTAAAAACAAAAGGTCACATAAACACCACATCTCAAAGACAAGAAAAAAAAAATGGAGTCATTTAAGAACTGTAAAGCCCATTGTGTTAAATTCCCTTATCACAAGGGGAAGAGAGCTACAGTAGCCGGCCAGTTGTATCGAGTCATTCGTGGATCAGTTAAGTCTGCGAGCTGGGTTCAGTTTAAATGGGGCCTTGTAGCAAAGCCAGAGACTAAGAATGATGCGGATCCTGTTCAAGCTAATAAAAGAGTCGTCATGAATAGCTTTATTGTGAGCCTGTCATGCAGATTCTCCCCTGAAATTCTATGCCTTCCTTCAGATCCTTTGATTATCAAAGAGGCAAGAAACCTTGAACCAGAGGAAACTCAAACCTGCTACAATTATGTAAGGGTTTTTAATGGCTCATTTGCTTGAAGTTTTATTGCTGTTTTTAAAAGTAACCCAATTGTCTTGGATGAGCTCCGTGGGGGTTACAAGGGCCTCTGTCCCTGTCACACCTGAGTTTATTTCCTTGCTATTCACTGGGATAGCCCTGGTCTGAGAAAGGGAGTCTGACACACTTCATCAGAACCCTCCTCACTTGCAGTTGACTACAAAGCTCAGGGAAGCTGCAGTCATTCTCTCTGCCCTAAAGGGGCTGGGAGGAAAGGCAGGGAAGAATGTCAAACAATGAGACAACTGAGCCTTAGCTGCACTTGCTCTCCAAACTACAGGTGGGGCCCACCCCACACGCTCTCATCTCAGCTCTTTCAGGGGCCCCTGCTGGAGACAGCCACCAAATGTGAAGTGTTAGCAAAAATGCTATCACTGCTGAGTGTAATCAGTTTGAACTTAATTAAACTTTGACAGCATCTTTCAAAGGACTGACTTTTGTTTACTTGTTGGGTTTTGTTTGTTTTGAGGTGAGAGGGAGATGTAGCACAAAATAAATATTCTCATGTGCAGCCACCTCCAGGGAATGCCCAGATTTTGACAGACAATACAATAACTCTTACTGGCTGAGGAATATCAGTCAGGAGCTGAGAGCCGAGGCTAAGGTTAAACATTGTCTCTTTTCCCTTCCCTTCTGGAAAGGAAGAAAAAGTATTGCAGGTATAACATAATTCTAACTTATTTTTTAAGTAGGTTATTAATAAACTTTAGTGCTTTATTAGTAGCAAAAGTTGGCTGGGTAGTTAATTCAACTCATTAGGACTGTGTTTTGGAAAAGTGGCACAGCCACAGCAAGTCAGCTCACTAGACAATTCCCAGGGAATGGGGATGCCAGGTGAGTCCTCACTTCTGAAGCTTGTCCTCTCGCTATGCAACATACATTTGCCAACACGTATTTCCATGGTGAAAATAAAACATTGTTCAGGTTTATTACAAAATCAATCCAAGCATTTTAAACAGGCACCCTGTTGCTAGAAAATCTGTGTTTGCTAGTGCAAATAGCTGGAAACAATCTTCAATGTGGTTTCCAGAAAGAAAAAACAAATTAGAAGACTTCAGTACTTAAGGCATTTCAAGAAAAAGATGAGTTAGAATCCCACTGCAACTATGGCAGAAGGAAATTCACGCGCAGGTTGGAGATGGAGGTGATTGATCTCTATTATAAAGTCTGCTAGCACTAGGGACATCTCCTGCTTCAATCTGTCTAATACCCCCAGTTCCTCTAATACCCCGCTGCTTCTCTCAAGAGCACGATCTTTAATCTATCAGATTCACAGACTGCTACGGCTATCCCTCTTAAGCATTGGACATCATAATTATCCAAAAAACAAATCTTCTTGGGCTAGAAGAATTATAGTATGAACGTGTTAAGAAAAAAGGGAAAGAGTATATCAGCTTTCAACACCACAGGCAATAAACTGCACTCTGCCCTCACCAGGGGCTCATCTTTTCCCTTAAAAATCAAGTTTCGTTTTTTTTTTTAAAGCCTATTACAAATCCTATACATATTCTACAATAACTTAGAACAAATTATAGCAAATCCAGAGAGACCTTTCCCAAGTCTTTACTTTCCAAACAAAGCAAAACTCAGCGCAGACTGTATTTAGGAATGTGACTTCCTGGGGCTTAGGTGTTCCGGGTGCAGGATTACTGGTGTTTACTTTGCGGAGCGGTCCCCTCGCAGGGTGACCGCAGAGAGCCCAGCGGCAGCTCACGTGGCACGGGCAACAGTGGCTATGCTGATCATGTGTCTGTTCCCATCCTCATTCCAGTGAGTCTTCCTGTGCCTTTTATGAAATCATTTAGAATTGGGCTAAAATGCTTGACATGAAAAATACAATAAAAATATTTCATTTAGGCTTGCAATTATCATATAGCTTTACTGCATTTCTAATATTTCTCATGAGGAAGAAGTGAGAGTTTTAAATATGAGTTTGTTTTTTTTTTTTAAAGTGCTGGGAAGAACATGAAACATAAAATTGGAGAAAGAATCTTTAAGGCATGAAGAGTAAATTTTTAAGAAGAAAAATGGAAAATTAATAAGTTGCCATGAAGGACATCAGTAACTCAGAGTAGCCAGCAACCCTGAGACCATTTATTATAAGTGAGGAATATCTTTAGATTCCAATTAACAATCAAGATTGAGAGGACTACACAAC